TTTTTTTGAAATTTTTTTGACGGTCAAAAGAGCCGTAGAAAATCGAAAGAAAAAAAGTAGAGAGATAGAGTAGAGAGAGATAGTAATAAAGGGCAAAAATGTCCAAGGAAGGCGGTGACTAGTAATAAGGGGGGCGGTGAATAGTAATGCCCTTTTTATAACAAGCAATAGTTTGGGACAAGAAACAAGCATGTATTTCTTCTATACTGAAAAAAAAAAAAAACGCATGTGATTTTGGCAAAAAATATAGTGACAAATCTACAATTAAATAAATAAAAAAAAAAGTTGCTGCGAGATCAAATTTTGCGTTTATTTAATTATTCCAATTGCAATATTAACATGTTGCCAGTGCTCAAAGGTTTTATTCAAGTGAAACTCGTGCCACATAAGCGTTGATTATGAATAGGATTGGTGAAACGGAAATACTCTACTATATATATAACTAGTACAGAGCCGGTGCGATGCACGGAGTGCACATCTTTAAGGTCATTTATCCAGCCTTATAATTATATAAATAATAAAGGAAAATGTACGGGATATATGTAGTACGTGACCTGTTCGAGACACGTGATATATTTATTTGGGAATTATTATATTATAAGATGCAATATTCAATAAAAGTTTTACAATACGTAGGAAAATTATACAATAAAATAATATTCGACAAAGAAACAATCATATATTATTAATGACCTCCTTGTACACAACATTATGAGTTTGATTATTGGGCAACTCCTCATTCTCACAAACTAATATCTTCAACCCCCTTCTGTTAGTTACACGCGAAACAACAACTTAAAAATATACGTTTCAAAGTTCGAAATTAAAAAAAAAAATCAATAATTTAGCTTACAGTTTTATCATGCAGAACCAACTCGAGATATGATTTGTATGTGCTGCCCCAGTCTTGGAAAAACATTTTCACTTTTCGAACTTTGAGCATAGGTCTATTAGACCTATTGACTTGTTTGATTAAGCCAAATCCTTTATTCACTGTTTTGAATAAAAGACTGATTGGGGATCACTACAAAAAATAGAGTTCTAGTGAAGAATTTTTTTGTCACTATATCTACAATTGTTGTCACTATATCTACTGTCAATATATCTACAATTGTTGTCACTATATCTACAATTATTGTCACTATATCTACAATTATTGTCACTATATCTACAGTTGTTGTAGATATAGTGACAACAACTGTAGATATAGTGACAGTAGATATAGTGACAACATAGTGACAAAAAAAATTCTTCACTAGAACTCTATTTTCTTGTAGTGGATATTTTTTATTCGCATGATGTTGACAGTGAGGAAGATAATGACTCGGTATTTTGAGATTTGTAATTTATAATGGGTAGAGTAGATATATATTGCTGTTAATATTTTTATGAAAAAATCTGAATATATAGAAATCGGTTTGAACAAAATCAGTACAAATTTTCATACAATTAAATAAATAAAGCCTTTTTTATTTTCGTAAAGATTTTACGTACATTTTACTGACTTATCGGATGTTATGGGATTTTTTGTTCTTAAACCGATTTTATAGGATATAAGACAAATACAATTAGATGATTGAACAAAATCAGAACAAATTTCCATACAATTAGATAATAAAAAGGAATTAGATAAGAAATTTTGAATATGCCTTTTTTTAGTATAGATATAGACTTTACGTACAATTTTTGACTTCACCGATTTTATGAGATTTGTTTTTGACGGAATCGATGTTTTGATGTAAAGATTTTAGGTACTTTTTTTTAATAAAAAAATAAATAAAATAATTATATAAATTTTTTTTTTAGTAAAGATGTTACGGGATTTTTTTTAAACTAATTTTATGGGATATAAGACAAATAAATAAAATAATTATATAAAATTTTAGATACAATAGCAATGTATTAATTACGTTGACTTTTCAACCTAATAAATTTGATAAACAAGATACCTTATTATATAAGTATAAATTTTAAAAATTTTAAAACTAATTATGCATGAGCATCAGTGACCGGTGATTGAACCAGTGATGGGTCCGACCCACCCTCGTTAAAAAACTATGATGAAACCTACGTCAGTGATTACCAAATCCCATGTGAATGTTTACTTTGGTGGACCTCACACACACTTAATCACACTCTCTCCTTCTCTCTCACACACCTTACCCCAGCCACCTACACAAACAAAACATGCGTCAACGTCGTTTTGCACAAGCTCCGACCAGCGACAACGATCAGCCGTCGCCGACCGGAACCAGGTCTGCCGGATCTCCAAACCCGAACCGACGGAAGCGCAGGCTCGTGCGCTTGCCAGAAGAGGAGGAGGATGATGGTGATGAGGAGGAACAGGGGGACGGAGCTAAGTTGACCGAGCAGAAGAAGAGGAGGAGGAAGAACGAAGAGGCGGAGACGATGCCGCCGGCGGAGAACGTGGAGCCGCAGCCGATGGGCGCGGTGGTTAGGGTTTCGGGGAAAGGAAAGGGGAGGAGGACGCATTACGAGTCGTTCGAGTACAACGGTCACCTGTACAGCCTCGTGAGTCATTCTATTTTGCTTTCCACTTTGATTTTGTGGTTGTTGGAGTCATCTGCGTCGTCGATCGTTTGTTGATTACTTGATGTTTTTGAGCTTCCTTCTGATCATGGGAATTTGGATTTATTTTCCATCACTTTGTTGAGGAAAAATGCTGCTGATTTAATGTTCATGGATGTTGTTGCCTTGTTGATGTTTACTGAAAAGGAAAATTGAAGAAGACGAAGAAGGAATCTTTTTTTGTTTTTTAAGAGAGGTATAAATGTCTCTCTAGTAGTAATTGATTAATCAATTAATTGTTGTTTAATTATGTTTCATACCAATTATTTATCTATTTACTTTGTGGTGGGTTTTTTTAGTTTATTGCCGAGGTTCCGAGATTTTTGTTATTTGTTTGGATAATCTAATTATTTCGCCCTCCTAAACTTAATTTATCATCTAACCTCAAAATGGCATTTAGTGTCAATGTAGCATCTAACCTCACCAGCAGCACCTGGGCCAGAACGAACAACTACCGCATCAATTGCGATATGTCAATACATTCTATCCGATGACTGGTTTTTTTCATTCACAGATTAGTTCCATCTTGTTTGCAGGAGGATCCGGCTCTTTTTCATCCCGAGAACAAGAACCAAAAGCCTTATGTGGCCATAATTAAGGTAAAAACACACTTCCTTTCGCTTGAGTGAATCGTGTTTGTTGAGCAGAAAGTGGTGTGACAAAGCCATTAGTGTGCCAGGACATTGCTCAAACGTGGCAAGGGGGCCTTATGATAACCGGACAGTGGTTTTACCGTCCAGAAGAGGCCAAGAAAAAGGGAGGCGGGTGCTGGGACCCACGCGACACGAGGGAGCTGTTTTACAGCTTCCACAGGGATGAGGTGCCAGCGGAGTCCATATTCCACAAGTGTGTGGTCCACTTCATACCCCTCAACAAGCGGGTCCCGCACCGCCAGCAGCACCCGGGCTTCATCGTGCAGCAGGTGTACGACACTGAACAGAGGATGCTCTTCAAGCTGACGGACAAAGACTATGAGGAGGACAAGCAGCACGAAATCGACCTTCTCGTCAAGAAGACCCTTGCTCGGCTCGGAACCCTTAAGGATCGAGCTCCCGAGCCTGAGGGTGCAGACCCTGAAGACCGGCTAAAGAATAGGAGACTTGTTTCTTGTCTAGGGAAAAGGAATGTGGTGAGCCCTCGGGAAGGTTCAAGGGAGAATTTCGAAGGACTTAACAGATCTCAATCGCTTAAGATGGAAACTACGGAGTATTATGGTATTCTTTCGGATTTTAAGCTGCTGACTGGGGAGGCACAGCGTGACAGATGGCTAGAGAAGCTTCTCCAATCTGTTCGGTTCTTGTACGCAAATTCTGGTTCAAGCGGCAAAAAGTGTGGCGGTTCGGATAATGAATCTCATGGTAAGAATTCGGAGGTAAGTGGGTGTTTGAAATTTTTCTGATTGGTGAAGTTGTGTTGGGGTTACGCTCATTGTTGATTCAAAATTTGTTCTTTGACACTCCTCTTCTCATTATATAGGATGGTGGATCATTTGATTGGCCTGGTGGAGCTATTTCTCCCATAGTTGCTCTTGAGAAAGCTGCTAGCGATGCACTTTCTGCTGATTTTCAGAAGTATAACCAAAAGATGCGGCAGTTAACATTCAATCTTAAGGTGAACCAAACTTGCTTATATTTGAAATATGTGCATACAATTGTGTATTGATTGTTACATTTAAAAAATCCCTCAGAATGTCGTATTTTGGTCCGTGACTTTTGATTGTTATTCGTGGGACTTGCTATGATTTCGGGTCTGCTTCGTGGTAGTTTTCAATCTCCTAGTTCTGGTTGTATGTTCTAGTTGTATTTTATTCAATTTTAATTCTTAAACTTTTGGCATAAAATTTGCAAATTCTTGTCAGGGCAATGCCGCATTGACACGACGTCTTCTGAATAAGGACCTTGTACCTGATCAGATACTGAATATGTCGCCAAATGAGCTAAAGGTGCTGTTTGAACTCTTTTCGCATTTCCTTTATTTATGGTAATTACTTTCTAAATCTTTCTAGTTGTTCTGAGTGCATTTCGATGCTCCATTTATAAGTCTACATTGGCATCTGTCACATGGGGGTTACTTTTCATGGTTTCTGTTTATTATTTTTTTCTTTAGTGAACCCGTGTTTTCCACGAAACTATAGTGTTAGCTTTTAAATTTCCATTTGGATCTTATTGCAGTATATTTTTATACCTTATTCTGTCTTTTTTCAAGCATTGAGTAGATTTTGGATATTTTCTATGAACATTTTTGTTCTAAAGAGTAAAGACCTTGGTGATTCAGTTTCATGTGAACATTTGTTTCTTTGATTGAACTGGTTTCTTGGAGTGGCTATCAGCAGATGCACATTATCTTTAACTCGGCTCAAGTGTACAACAATTACGGATTTGATGTTGGTGAAAATTTCTGTTAAATATACTCGACTTCTGTTTTCCCCAGGAAGGCTTGACTGCAGAAGAAATAGCAAGCCGGGAGCCAGAGGAGTCGGGCCGCTTGCAGGTTAGTAGGTGTTTGCATTCCATAGCACGCCTTTTGCTTATACTTTGCTGTATCGCATTAATATTTTTTTTTTACCTTTGCTGGGTGGCTAAAGATGACTGATGCCCGTTGTACAAGATGCACAGAGAAACAAGTGGGTTTGATAGATATTATTCAGACTGGACTTGGAGACCGCTATCAGGTAATAATTTGTTGATTCTTCATTCTTCTGTCCATTGCTCATGTGAACGTGTATTTTTCGACAGTTAGAAACATCAAAATAGTTCCACGTGTTGGGCAGAACTTAACTCGATACTTTCATTTTTCTTTTACTAAAACCATTTGTGAAATAACTAAATGTAACACTCAATCGTACATAATTAATAATTGCTAGCTTTCAACCTGGAAATTTTTCTTGCTTCAAAGGAAATTCACTCATAACTGGTCTGTTTTCTTTTTTCTTTTTAATTTCCCTGGTGTTGCATGCAAAGTTGGAGTGCGTGGCCTGTGGCAACACGTGGTACGCTTCAAGAGACGACGCGGCCACATTAACCATAGAGAGACCTGGCTCGTTTAGAACTGTTGGCACTGCACCATTAGCTACTGCCAAGTTTGAGGTTGTGGAGAAGGGCTTGGTGAGCCCAAGTCGGGATGAGAGAAAGACAACAGATGCATCATTACTCAGACAAAAATCGTTTAGAAAAGTTCAAAGCGATGAAAAACCTGCAGACACAAAGACGACAACAGATGCATCATTACTCAGACAAAAATCGTTTAGAAAAGTTCAAACCGATGAGAAACCTGCGGACACAAAGGCAACAAATTCATCATTACTCAGAGAAAAATCGTTTAGAAAAGCTCAAACCAATGAAAAACCTGCAGATACAATCTGATATGTTTTGAGGTTTGTCTAACCTTTGCCTCTTTGTTTTTGTAATTAGAAGGTTTAGGAAGAAAGACGATTATGTTGAGCACAGATGAGTCAGAATGATGGAACTAGACGAGTGATCCTGGAACCCATATGTATGTTTAGTTTACAAAACACGGAGTGTTACCTAATAAAGAAAATGTTGTGGAGATAGTAAGTTTGATGATACTTTAGTTGTCTGAAGCTTTTATGGGGAGATATATGGCAGTAGTTAGAGCTCAACTAATTGCTAATTATTTGGTCATGTAATATTTATTTGATGCGAAGTTCCCAAAAAATATCATGGAAATATAACCAAAAGCTTAGCAATACCGAGGAAATTTCATACTCCCTCCTTTTTTAAATAAATGTCGGTTGACTTTTTTGATTATCCATTTTGCTATATATCTAGACATTAATATGTCTAGATATATAGCAAAATGGATGAATCAAAAAAGTCAAAACGACATTTATTTAAAAAAGGAGGTAGTATAACTGTACTGACTAAGTAATTCTAAGTAGCAGACTTGAACGGTTTGAATGTTGACGTGGCAAAATTTTGTGCTTCATAATTTAGTTTGTATAAACATTATTGTTGTGAAATTAAGTTTGGTTATTAGACATAAATAAGTAATTTGTGATAAGTATGCATTTACTTTTGTCCATTTTCATTTTCCCAAATCTAATTTACAAAACAAAAGTGATACTATTAATTCATATTTATTTTATTTATTAAAGACATGTTTTTACATCGTATCTTGAAAGTTAATAAATTTTTTATTTATAGACTAATATTCATATATGATTTATCAGGTTAATCATGATGATATTAGATTTGACATCCATATCATATATATATAATCATGTGTGGAAAGATGGGTAAATTGCACCAAAACCCTCATGTGTTTAACGAAATGTGCGTGTTTTCCCACTGTGTTTTAAAAACTGCACCGAACCCCTTATGTTTAAGTAATTGTTGCACGGTTCCCCCATTCCGTCCAAGTTAATCGCGCGTGTGTGACACTTTCTCTAGCTGCGAGATTTATTCAATTGTTTTATTTTCAAAATTACTAATTTACCCTTTTACCCTCCTGAATTTTATTGCAAAAGATAAAAATTTGTAGTGTAGAAAGTGAGACTCAAAACCGGATTACCGAAGAGAGAGCATGCCAACAAAGCCACTGGGCTACATGAATGTTGTGTTAATTATTGAACACACATATATTTATAATACAATACGAAAATGATTAAATAAAATAAATAAAAATCTAATAGGTAAATTAATATAAATTAAATAACTATTAATAATAATAATACTTGAAATAAATTAAATTAACATAAAAATAATGAAAGAATTCAATTAAAATAAAGTAAGATAAAATTTAATATAGTAGCACGAATTAAAATTAAATAAAATTATAATTTTTAATTACTAAAATAATTTAATTATATAAATTTTGAAATGAAAAACAATGATAATAAAATTAAATAAAAAATAAATAAAATTAAACTAAAAATAAAATAAAAATATTATAAGATAATAAAGTATAAAAATTGTGAAGTAAAATAATATAATAAATCAAATAAGTTAGTTTGATATAATAAATTAAAGTAAATAAAAATTGTAAATTAATATAATAAAATAGAAAAACACAATTTAGCAATTACGTGTAATATGATTTACTCTTACATACAATATCATTGAGAAAAATTGAAATAAATTGTAATTTTTTAGTAAATGATTTTAGTTTTTAATAAATAATTCTAATTTCTAATTTTATTATTAAAATTTATGTTAATTTTATTACATTATCTTAAGATAAACAAAATAAATAAAGGTTGTTAACTAAGATAATATAAAATGAGCAATGCAATAAAATAATAAGAAATAATATAAATTAAAATAATAATAATATATAAAAAAATCTAAATATAAATTCAATAAATATTATTATTTTAACTTTGATTTTCAAATTTATTTATAATATATTTTAATTATTTTTGTTTTTTTAATATAATAAGTTATTTTTATATTTTATTTCACTTAATTTTATATAATTTGGTTCATTATATTTTAATTTATCATATGTTTATATTTAAATAATTTAATTTAATATGATTTACATTACTTCTAAATTAAATTTAATGTAATGCCTATGTATGTTAAACTTTACTACATCTATCACACAAGCTTGAGTGGTTTAGTTGTTGCTTGTTTGCCTTGCACATGGGTGGTCTCAGGTTCGAACCCTAAAGAAATATTATTTTTTTTAATTTAATTTCTCGCGATATATTCAATATATCGTGAGAAATTCAATTTATCGTAAATATATATATATATATAATATTCGAACGGTATAACGAGATTTTTGTGAAAAAATTTAACACCGTTAACAGGAAATTGAAAAAATGGAGTGTTTGTATCGGTTACTTAAACACAAGGGGGTCTGGTACAGTTTTTAAAACACAGTGGAGAAACGTGTACATTTCATTAAACACAGGAGGGTCTGGTGCACCCGTGGGAAGATTTATAAACATTTAAAATCAAATTATCAAAATAATATTCATGTTAGACATATATAATTTTATAAATGTAATTAAAATTGTTATCCCTTTTCTTTTTTTTTTTTTTCTTTCTTTTTTTTTCGTCAATTTGGGGTAAAAACGTGCCAATTTAAATAGTTATCACTTAATACTTATTTATTATTTATTTTACATTTGTTTTTTTCATTTTCAATTTTTTCTACACCCTCATGTAGCATATGGATGTCGTTCTAGTCAAATGTTCATTCTACATATGAAGTAAAACAACTAAAAATGGGATTATTTTGAAAACTTTGTTTCGTCTTGAACGTTCATTCTACATATGAAGTAAACCAATTAAAAATGGGATTATTTTGAAAACCTTGTTTCGTATTGTGCAAGAGATGCATGACACCATGAACTGTATGGGGTTAGCGGATAACTCCTTTATTTAGTCATCCATAATTTAATGTACTCATATATTAGTTTTGCTATTGAGCTATCGGATGACACGACATGTGGAGACATCCACACTTATTCATAAATAGTATATTAACATGTGTCCTATAAATAAATACACTTTGGACATCCTCCCTATATATAATTCCTGAATGCGCTGAGCCTACGTGGCTGCTTCTGGTGCTTCGGAATCCTATTTGGCGAAGAATCATACTTCGTAAGTAGGTTTGGATAAATAATATTGATATATTAATAATTAATAATCTAGGTTCGAGTATTCCATAAATATTATTTAGCTAACTTAGGTATTTTAATATCACTTTTACTAATATAACCCTTTAATTCTTTGTAATTTTATATAGTGAGACACTAGGTGACTAATATATCCATGAATTTTGGTTTGTTTCCTTCAATAAGATATTGAATTATAAATGTATTTTAAAAGTTGATAACTTTTGTATTTCTTATTGGTTTTACATATATAATATATCAAATTAATCATCTTTTGATGATCTTCGATTTGACACCCATATTGAATATATGAAATAAATAAATTATATTTATCTTTATAATAATAAAAAATAATAATATATATTAACATTCATTAGAAAAATAAAATTATTTCTCAATTGATATATTTATATGTAATGTAGTTATATATTTGATATGGGATATTATATACTAGACCGGTTCGGAGGACACTCCAAACAGAGTAGCGTATGGGTGTGGTCGAGCAGTACCAACAGGTCCATAGAAACTCTAGCACCTGGTCGAGCAGGGACGTTCCAGCGAGTACAGGCACAGACCAATCGTCTCTTGCCTCCGGAGCAGTTACACGTGAGGACACATGGACGGATCTGGTCGACAGCCAGAATATGCTAAAGGATCTCCGTCACATGGAAGGTGGACACGCGGCGTTGTGTGAATGGGCCAAGGGATAACGAACTCTGACATTCTCTGGCGCAGCTGACGCGTTTTCTGACACCGGAGAAAGTGGAGACGCGCGACCGTACGGACGAGCAAAGGATGGAGGGCGAGACTCGCCTAATCGCGCGTGGCCAACAGGTAACTCGTCCCTATAAATAGGGACGAGAATTATCGCTTTTAGATAACTTCCAATTCTCCTAAGATTTTGAGATACACCTTTATCTCCCAAGATCTGACTTGAGCGTTGGAGGCTCTTCACCGGAAAATACCTCCGGTGTGAGAGTTTTTGTGCAGGTTCAGCGTTCGACCGGTGGAGGAAGTCGTGTTTGCTGCGGTTCTCGGTCGGGCGAGCGTTAGACTTGTATTAATATTGTAAGTTAAAAAAATTAGTATAATATAACACAAGTAAGTTGCACAAATAAAAAGTGTCATAATAAATATATAATAATATATATTCTTATAAAAAATATTTAAATTTTCAAACTACTTCTTCTCATTAATTTTAAATTTTAAGAAAAAAAATTAACAAGCACCCGTGTAATACACGAGTGTTGTACTAGTATGTCAATACATTAAGTGATGAATGACTTCATAAAAAATCATCTGATGGTTCATTTTGGAGCCACCCATAACTTGACGTATTGACACATCAGTTTTGCTATGGAGCCATCGGATGACACGATACATGGAGTCATCCACATTTATTTACAAATAGTGTATGAACACGTGTCCTACAACAAATACACTTTGGACATGTGTCAACATATTAAGTGATGGACGACTCCATAAGAAACCATCCGATGGTTCCAAAAAATTTCTAACTGACACATATCTAAAGTGTATTTATTGTAGAACACGTGCTAACGCACCTTTTTATGAATAATTGTTGATGATATAGCATAATTGATTATCATAGGTAAGACAATTCGATCAATTAAACATTGATGTGATGAATAAATCATTAAAAATTTTACAATCAGTTAGACTAATAAACCATTATATTTCACTAACAAACCGATCTGAATCTAAAAATATTTGTAATATCATTAGACGTGGCCATCGGGCTGGATTGACGTGCCGCATATTCAGTATGTTCATCGATAATCTGAACTTGCTGACTCGGGTTTCAGGCCAACCTGAAATTGTTGACCTGGATTGACCCTAAAAGTCCCGGCCCAGCATATTGTACCTAGAACTGACGAGCTACCATTGATTGTATCTTGAATTTCGTTAGGTCGAACTCTTAGTTGTTGAAAGATCATCGATTGAGTATTGTTCCACTCGATACAATTTTTAATTTCTTTTCAACTTTTTACTTAATATTAAAAAAAACTCAAATTTCAAGGGATCGGGCCAAAAAGCAGAAACAATGGAAGGGTCGATTCAATTTGTAAACCCTTGATCCACAGAGTGGCCCATGTTTATACAAAATGTATGGAACATCGGATAGTTTTCTTATAGAGCCATCGATTACTTAATATATATTATGCATGATTAAAGTATATTTATTATAGGACACGTGTCAATATATTATTTGTGAATAATTGTGGATGACTCATAAGTTGAATCATCCTACGGCTCCATAGCAAAATGGTATGTTTATATCACATATGAAGTTCATTCAGAAGCCATTACTATACCTTACTTTATGAGTCCATCCATCCATGGCGATACATACTTATCAGTTATCACTACACAAAGATCCTTGTGCATTTTCCAATTCCATCCTCTTCCCACCCACAGGCGGCCACAGCGCCCGCCTCTACTCATTTCTGAGTTCCTAAATCTCATTTTTTTCTCACTTTTGCCGCCCTCGCTCAAACCCTCTTTTGGTCCATTTTCGAATTTCGCTCCAATTGAAAATGGTGAAAAGGGAGAACACGAACTTCTTCGTCCCTGCCAGCTGGGTCGCTCCTCGCTCGCCGCCTGATGCTCCGCCGGGCTTCCCGCCGAAGCCGCCCCTATTTTGCGCCCCGCCCGCTTCAGCTGATACGCCGGGGAACCATAACCCGACATCCGTAATGGGTACGGTTGGCGGCGGCGCTTACAGAGATGGGTCTGTTTCCCCTGAACGGCTGACTCAATTGACGTCTCAGCTTCGTAAGTGTGTTGTATTGGCTTAGTTGCTCGCCTGCTTTTATATGGACATTTTTGGTAATTTTGAATCTTGCTCCATTTGGATGGCGTGCTTGCCCGCATAATATACTGCCTAGTAATATTTGGTCACTTGAATTTTGATATTTCTGCAGTTTTTTTATCCCAAAGTTTTAGTAAGTGTCAAAAATGACTCAAAATGCGGTTTAGGCTCAGTTGTGATTCTTGCTTTGTAAGTGTAGCAAAGGCAACCTTTTAGTCTTGTAAAAATACAATCTTGGTCCTATGAGTATGAAGAGTTGGCATTCTATTTAGCAATTTGCGTTGTGTAAGTGTCGATTTTCATGTAATTCTGATCACCTAAGTCCTTATTTCATGAGGGATTGGCCGCGTTGTATAATCTTCTGTCGAGTTTCTTTATTTGGAAATGAAATTTTGCATTTCTAAGATTCCTGAAAGCACCAAGCTTCATGGTAATTCATTTAGTTGAGTTGAGTTGTAGACTGAAGCTGTTCAAGACAGCTTAGCTTGGCTTGGGTTGTACAAATACCAGCTGTTTGAAACTTGTGTGATGTTCTTTGATGAGGTGTTTCTTTTCTAGGTTCATTTGTAAGATTAGATTATGGGTGACAATTAGACTAGACATATGTTTCACTTATCTGTTATTGTTATTGTCTGTTTTATTCCTAGTTTATTCTTGCAGCATGCAAAGAAACAGAAATAGTAAATCCAAATATGGTCTCGTCGATACCATCTCAGGAGCAGTCGTATGAAGACGATTTCGATCCGACTCAAGGTGGAGAAGGTCAACAACCTCAACGGTCTCGTATGGCCGCCGGCGGGGGTCAAGGGTTGAGATCCGACGTATTCATACGGCATTTTACGAAGGTGCCTGATGAGAAAAGAAGTGACAAACATTTTCTATGTATCTGCAATCACTGTCCACCTAACGCCAAGAAAAAGTATGCCTTCAAAACCGGCGGCGGGTACGGATCGATGCAACGACATATACGGATACATCATTCGGCCAAAATGGGGATTCCAACGACCCAAACGCAATTCGCGACTAGAACAGGTACTTCTACTTTATTACAATACTCTCATGAAATCCATAGACGTAATGGTTGAATTTGATTTTCGATTTTGGTGATTGCGGAAAATTTTGCTCAAATGACTTTAACCTGACTGCGTCTCGGATTCAAGGGTTGAGATCGAACATATTCACACGACATTTTATGAAGGTGCCTGATGAGAAAAAAAGTGACAAACATTTTATATGCATTTGTAATCACTGTCCGCCTAACGCCAAGAAAAAGTACGCTTTCAAAACCGGCGATGGGTACGGATCGATGCAACGACACATACGGATACACCATCCGGCAGAAATGGGGATTCCCACAACCCAAAAGCAATTCCCAAAGAGCAGCACTGCATCTGCCACTCGAACAGGTACTTCTTCTATTTTATTTCAATACTCTCATGAAAACCATAGACGTAATATGACTGAATTTGTTTCTGCTTCGTTTCTTCCTTACCGTTTTGATGATTATGATTTCTTCAAGACACCTTGGCTTGGTGTTTCTTCAAGACACCTTGGCTTGGTTTGTACCAATATCAGCTGGTTGAAACTTGAAACTTGTGTGATGTTCTTTGATAAGGTGTTTCTTTCCCAGGTTCATTCTTAAAATTATGTTTCACTTATCTGTTAGTGTCTGTTTTATTCCTAGTTTATTCTTGACTTGCAGCATGCAATGAAACAGAAACAGTAAATCCAAATCTGGCCTCATCGATACCATCTCAAAAGCTACAAGAGCACTCGTCGTGCTTTTGCTTTACCATTAAATCTCCTCAGACCAGTAAGGAGCTATCAAGCTCAGATACAGAGAGTCAACTAGTTGAAGACGACCTACAAGCTCATTTTCCTCCATCGAATCCTCACTCGTTAGATCGAAAAGTGAACATGAAGCGGGAAACCCACGATATTGGTGTCAGTGAAAACCAAGATGGAGCCACCAATAGATCTCCTTTCCAAACCCACGGTGTTTTTGATATCACACTCACTAAAAGCCCTGTTTACGAGAGATTTGGAAGTGTTGGCCCGAAAATCTTACACGTGGCTAGTGCTCTTAATGACTCGGAAGTAGATCTTGCACGTACGCTTGAGGCTATTAACAAAAAGCATGGGGATATTACACTTGACTGTACATTGGAGTCGGATTACATGAAAACCCTTGTCTTACTTGGCATTTGTAGGGTGGTGCACGACCTAGAAAAGAAACAATTAAAGGACGTTGATCTTGGTGACTTAGATTCTTATTATACTGCCGTAAGAGATGCAGAAAACATGAAGGTGAACATGAAGTGGTTGCGTGATCGACTTGATGAAATTAGAGATGCTGTTGAATTAACCGAGGAGGAGAAAGTCTTGGCAAATGAGAAAGATGCGCGTCTTGCGAATATTTTTATGAAGAAGAAAGAACTTGAAATGCGTAAAGTTGAACTGGAGAATATCAAATCTGAAGTTGAGGATCTTGAAGCTTGTTTGGCTCGAGAGGTTGTGATGGTAGAGGAGTTGAATCGAACAATTGGTGCACGACAATCAAGATTTTCAAAGTTTCAACATAAGTACTTGATGGAAGGACTCATTTAAATTAATTGCACGTGCATGTGCACGTGCTTCTCTGCGAACCATGTGTATATAATGGTTTTATTGTTAAATTTTCTTGTGCATTTTGCAAAACCAAAAAATCGAGATGCTTTTGTTACGACTGTGAGTACTTTGCAAACCGAGCATTTTGCAGGACTTCTTTGCAACCGTGATTAGTTACATGGTGAGTTCTACAATTTCACATGGGGCGGTATCTAATATCTGGAAATTCCCATGTATCCCCCTGTAATTAAGGTGATTTGCAAAGTAGTCATTTGCTGTAATTGACTTTAGAAGTTGATGATGTAAATATGTCATGCTTTTAGGAGTTGATTTTGCTATTGCCCTTGCAGATGTTCTCATTTCCTGTTGTTATGATTTTGTAACATTTTTCTTTTCATAGCTCAGAAATTTATTGCATCACCTCTCCAAATGATTGTACATAAAAAAAAAAAATAAAAAATAAAAAAAAAAATAAAAAAATATCAATGGTAGTTTATAGCTTTATCCTCTGCAACAATTTCTCTGCTTCAATGAATCCCCCAAATGGCCCTAAAGACAAGTACTTCACAGCTTTCCATCTGTTTCAAGATTTATTCATTGCATGAAATACATAAGCACCTCAAAGAAGAGAATAAAAAATGCACACACACACACACACACACACATAAAGAGAGAAATAGAATTTGAAAGTGCTCACCTGGGAATAAATGGAAGTGCAAAACAATGAAGATGAAGGTGATTGACACTGTTAAATGGAGGCTGGTGGAAGCCAAATCTGACGATGGAAAACCGGAGGCTGATGTCAAATTGCATTTTTAAAAGTGAAAAAAGTTGCGAAAAGAGATGTTGACACACAAAAAAAAAAGTTGGAGTTTTCTTTCGAACCGAAATCCAATTGGCTTGTTAGGAACAAGTGCTATGTATAGTTTTCATAAAGTGAGAACATTTAAGCAATAAGGCAGATTTGTTCCCAATGCAAAATCAGCAGGGTGCAAACTATATCTTTCACGGTATAAAAGATAAATTCCCAAAGCAAAGATAGCCGAATTATTGAAGACTAACGTAAAATACTACGATCCCATTCAAAGAATTAGAAAGGCGTACCTATAATGCTTGGCATGAGGCGCATCTCGATTTAAAAGGCTCTGACCAACTTCTAACATGTGACTGACTACAAGGATAAGGAGAGATTACACTTATGAAAAATAAGATAACCAAACGTGACAGCAGGATTCCTGAACAAGCAACAAAATACCCATGTTACCTAATGAAAAATCTTCAGGGCTCTTCTTTAAGTCTCTGACAGTGGGTATGTGTTTGATTGGAATCACCAAATAGTGCCTGATTTACAATGTGTAAATTTGTGGATGCTTAAGAAAAAAGAACTACCGAGTTAACTTAAGTAACCATAATAATGCTTACATCACACTGTTCATGATTTACGCGTAACAACGATAGAAATACTTCTCAAGAACTTCAGATATTAAAGTTCATAACAAAATTTCGAAGACTGGTACAATTACTACACAAATATTGATCTCAATAACTTGCAGAGTTGCACTCACAAAACAATTAAGCAAGTTCTACAATCAAAGACCCCAATCAGATTAGGCTTTAATATATTGACGAACAGTTCATTTTGTCTTGAAACCACAACATGACATTTCCATTTCCTTTCATTTTACGAGAGAAAAAGCTAACGGGTGCCTCATTATTCCGACTATGATATTCGACCAAATATTTATGTAGAAAAAGAGAAAATGATTCGTTCCAACCCGCAACAAAATGCAGTCTTAACAATTAATCCTTTTTTTTCTTCTAATAAAGCAAAACCTGTAATGCACTTATTTTCTTCTAACCTCCAAACTCCAACACCATCACAGTTCCTCATTTACCACTTTAACCAACTGAAAACTGGGAATAAATACCAAATAATCGATTCCTCTTAAAATGCAGCCATAAAAGGAAGTATGACTTTCTACAGATTCTCCAGTGAAGCATTAAATCAAACACCTTGTGCACAAAACAGAATAGCACACCCATTTAACAAGAAAGTTAAATGAAATATAAAATCAAGGGCAATTGGTTTGAAAAAAAAAAAAAATATATACCTGAGAGCAGAAGGATTTATATCTTGAAAAGCAACAGTTTTATCATCCTGCGTCAATCGATTAGCGATGTAATTCTGCTGTCGCATTTTGAAGAATCACATTTGCAGAAAAATGAAAAATAGAGAAGAACGTGAGAAAAAAAAAAAAGTAAGTACCTGGTGGAGAAGGGTATCGGAGGTTGAGCCGGCGATTTCACAGAAGATACACGACGACGGTGGTTGAGCCGCCGCCATTGCTCTAGCTGGACAACTGCTCCGAGTTATTCCATTTTCGATATTGTTTTTAGGACAAAGTGCACTTTTGGTCCTCCATGTTTAGGGGTATCCAGACTGAGTTCCCATTATTTTTTGCTGCCCAATTTTAGTCCTTAAAACAAAAAAATGTAATCCCTATTATGTTTTGGTGCCCAATTTTAGTCCTTACAACAAAAAATGTAGTCCCTATTATGTTTTGGTGCCCAATTTTAGTCCTTAAAATAAAAAATGTAGTCCCTATTATGTTTTCGTGCCCAATTTTAGTCCTTAAAACAAATAAATATAGTCCCTATTATGTTTGGGTGCCCAATTTTAGTCATAAAAATAAAAAAATGTAGTCCATATTATGTTTTGGTGCCCAATTTTAGTCCTAAAAACCAAAAAATGTAGTCCCTTAACCTCAATTTATGTGAATTAACGGTCCATTTTTGTTAATAACATCAAAGTAGTTGTGTAAAATAATATAAAACATCGAAAAGATGTAATCAAATTTCAAAGGAACAAATTATTGACCTGATTATAAAAATCATGATACATTCATTGCATAATTATTAATTATTAAATATTAAATAATAAAATTATATATTTATATTACATACCCTGCACACAACAATCCATCCACTCGTCCGTGAGTGGATCCGGCTCATTTTCTAGTGCCTTGCGCATTTCCCTGACGAGCCTCCTGGGTCGTCGTACGTCCGGCAGTTGGGGAACTGCTTGAAGAACTCGTTCGAGAGGTGGTTTGCGTAAATGACAATTTTGTCCATGGCCAGTGCCTCAATAATTTGTTCCTTTGAAATTTGATTACATCTTTTCGATGTTTTAAATTATTTTACACAACTACTTTGATGTTATTAACAAAAATGGACCGTTAATTCACATAAATTAAGGTTAAGGGACTACATTTTTTGGTTTTTAGGACTAAAATTGGGCACCAAAACATAATATGGACTACATTTTTTTTATTTTTAGGACTAAAATTGGGCACCCAAACATAATAGGGACTATATTTATTTGTTTTAAGGACTAAAATTGGGCACGAAAACATAATAGGGACTACATTTTTTTATTTTAAGGACTAAAATTGGGCACCAAAACATAATAGGGACTACATTTTTTGTTGTAAGGACTAAAATTGGGCACCAAAACATAATAGGGACTACATTTTTTTGTTTTAAGGACTAAAATTAGGCAGCAAAAAATAATGGGGACTCAGTCTGGATACCCCCTAAACATGGAGGACCAAAAGTGGACTTTGTCCTTGTTTTTATTTTTCGTTTTTACGAATAATATACTTGTGAGTTGTGAGCAGTGTTTTAAAACGCGCATCGCGGATTGCGTCGCGTTTTGGTCCTTATATTACGTAGTGTAAATAGCGTAGCGCATTGCGTAAGCTATTCGAGCAATTCACTTTTAATGCCAAAAATGATAATTTATAATCATACAAGCGAACAAATAATTAAAATGGTCTTAAACCATAAATTAACTTAGGCATTGAATATAAAAAATGACATTCAAATATTAATTCTTCAAACAACCAAACCAAAGTCTTAATGTTTAAAGTAAAAACTCAAAATCTTAAAATGATCAGTGTTATCCAATTGAATTTAGCTATCATCGTCAATTCTATCAAAGTTATGGATAATTTCACTACAAAAAATAATTGGTACAATTTCACCAAATTCTTGCATCTCCTCATCATTTGAAGAAACAATAAAGTGTTCATCCCATTTCACTTTTGAGCTTAAGAAACATAAACATCACATTATTCTAATAGTCCAAAAGGTCAATTATAACTATATTGATATCAATTTTTCAAATATATTTTTTTTTCAAGATAAATACGAAACATGATCTAATAATCACTCAAATTCGCCATAGGAGAACTTACTCAGTTTTGTGCCCTACGTCTTTTTTTTTTGTATTTTATTATTTTATTTTTATTTTTTATCTATAAATAAGGATTGCCCAAATAGCGTAAGAAATATCGCAAATAGCATAAATAGCACAAAATATAGCGTAAATTGCATAAATAGAGCAAAATATAGCGTAAATTGCGTGCGCTTTTCTGAAACTGCGCAAAATTATATACGCTATATCGCGTTTTTTGGTGAAAATGTGCTATAGCGCGCTACGCAGCGCGAAATTGCTATTTAAAACACTGGTTGTGAGTATTCAGCTACTCGTGTGATATCAGTAAATGGGCAAGCAGGGAATAGCTTCGTGGATTGGTACCTGGTAAAGGGTAATTTATCACGTAAATAAATTTGGGAGAAATACTCTCCAACCATACGTCGGGATTTGGAGGATATAATAAGTTTTGAATTACATTTATTCACCCATTTATAATAATAAAAAAATTTGTTTATTCATTTTAGTTTTTTTTATTTATTTTCTACTATTTTTAGTATAATTTTTTTTTTTTTTAAAAAACGTAATTATCACTGCACATTTTTCTATGATATTTATTTGTTATTGATTGATTCAATATTTACAAATCGTTATTATTTTAATCTCACCAACAATAATAACATATACCAATAGCACCCTAACATTGCATTAATCAATAAATGAAATTACACAATTCTTTGTGTTATACTTTTCAATAAAATAGATATCTATATATATATATATATATATATATATATAAACTTTTAGGCCATCTCCAACCGAAAAACCCAAACTCAAACTCATTTTGCAGTAACTATCTCATTTTGCAGTAATTCATCTCCAACCGAAAAACTCATTCTCAAACCCAAAAGAATATTCCCAGAATATTCTCTTTTACACCAACTTTTATAACTTTTTAATACTACCCACTTATTTTACAACTTTACAAATTAAACCACACTATTATTTTAAATTCAATTTGGACTTTATGTAATTAAAATTAATTATACATAATAAAATGGGAGAAAAAAATATTCATTATAAATTGAAATTTCGCCACAAAAATAAAATTAAATATTACAAGACACAAGATGAAAAATTAAAAATTACAACACACATGATAAAATTAGAAATTACAACACGCAAAATGAAAATTTAAATATTACAACACACAAGATAAAATAGAAAATTACAACAATCACGTAAAAATAGATAGTCTTTCAAGTCTCGAAGTTGGTGAATTCTTCCCATAAATGTTCAATCAGTGCATTCCGAAGTGCAATGTGATCATCTTTATTTCTAATTCTTTTGTACCGAGATATAAATTCTTGAAATCGAGTACTTTCATCTACTGCCATTTCGACCTCCGGCGGCGGCGTTTCCATTTCAGTTTCTATTTGTGCAATTAGGTCACGTTCATCCTCGACAATCATGTTATGCAAAATTATACATGTGGTTATGATATCATGTAACACTTCTTTTCGCCAATAACGTACTGGTCCTGCTACAATGCCATAACGTGATTGAAGAACTCCAAATGCACGTTCAACGTCTTTTCTGCAGGCTTCTTGTTTCATTGCAAAATATTTTTTCTTTGGACCACGTGGCTCATGAATTGTTTGCACAATGGTAGACCATTTTGGATATATGCTATCAGCTAAATAATAACCCATGTTGTATTCTTTTCCTTGAATTATATAATGAGCTGGAGGAGCAATACCTTGGGTTAGATCTGAGAAAAGATGAGATGATTCTAGAACGTTGATGTCGTTGTTGGAGCCCGGCAAACCGAAATAAGCATGCCATATCCATAGATCATAATCTGGTACAGCTTCAAGGATGATTGTAGGCTTTCCAATACGACCAGCATATTTGGCCAGCCCACGCTGTAGGACAATTTTTCCACCTCCAATGCATGCAATCTAAACTCCCCAACATTCCTGGAAAACCACGTTGCTGGCCAATGTATAGAAGCCTGGAAATATCATCAGGTGTGGGCCTCCGCAGATATCGCTCGCCAAATACCTCAACTATCGATCGACAAAATTTTTTCATACTTTCAATTGCAGTGGACTCACCAATTTTAACATACTCGTCTGTAGCATCAGCTGGAACGCCGTATGCCAACATACGAAAGACAGCAGTTATTTTTTGTATTGGAGATAATCCGAGTCTGCCTGCTCGATCCACTCGCTGTTGAAAGTAATGATCATGATCTTTGACTGCGTCGACAATTCGAAGGAACAACGAACGAGACATTCTGTATCTTCTACGGAACATGGTCTCGTTATACAATGGATTTTCTGAGAAATAATCATTGTACAACCTACGATCAGCAGCCTCTCGATCACGATTGATAAAAATATGCCCAGGAACAGATCCTCCATGAGAGGCTTCTTGGTTTTGTTGATTGATAAGATGTTGAATAATGATGTTGTTATTAGCGATAGCTTGAGCTATCACTGCTTGTTTTTTACGAAGAGCATTCATAATTACCATATGATTATCCTCAGAATCAGAGGAAGAAGATGACGAATTGCCAAAATTAAAATTCATTGTAGAAAGAGAAATATGATAAGATGTTTGAAGAGATTCAAGTGTGTGATGGATTTCGTATATGTTATGTTCTTATAGTAGTGAATTTGAAAGGTGTGGTAACCTTTGTGGGGAGTGGTTATTTTCAAGTCAAAACATTAATAGGCGTGACAGTCTTTGAGGTGAGAGGTCATTTTTTGGTCAGAACATGGATAAGCGTGATCAGCTTTGCAGTGATGTGTCATTTTCGTGTCAGAACATGGATAAGTGTGATCAACTTTGCAGAGGGTGTCCACTTCGGGTCAAAGCATTGAGAGAGGTGGGGGACATTGCAGTGATGTGTCATTTTCAGGTCAGAACATTGATAAGCGTGATAAACTTTGCAGTGATGTGTCATTTTCGGGTCAGAACATGGATAAGTGTGATCAACTTTGCAGAGGGTTTCCACTTTTGGGTCAAAGCATTGAGAGAGGTGGGGGACATTGCAGTGATGTGTCATTTTCGGGTCAGAACATGATTAAGCGTGATCAACTTTGCAGTGATGTGTCATTTTC